TGATAGTCACCATAAAATGTCTATGGTTGCAACTATTGCACATTTGTGTCTGTACATTGTCAATATAAGCAAAAAGTGCCTCCTTCCAATTTTTCATCACTGATAATTTTGTCAATAATCTACTGAAAACTGACCACACTGCTACTTGTTGTATCTCATGTTTTCAAGATAACAGAGGGAAATAAATAAGGAAGTCAAACTCATAGGTAAGTAATGAAATAGAAGGTTTATTACATGAAGGTACACTTAGCAATTGACCTAATGCTAACTCTGCTTATTTACATAAACAGACAATTCCATTTATTTATGTCCTATATATAGCTACCTGGTAACAAATGCTGCTATGGTCTAGGGTGCTATACACTTATTATTTGGAAATTTTGCATATATTTTCATCAATATAAAGCAATGGGTATGTGTCTAATAGGGTAAACTTATTTATGGTTTGGGAGTAATTAATTACCTGTTTCTTTTTGTGGTTCTCAGAAAATGTTATCAATACCTGAGCCCACCATGGGGACTCACACATTTTAATAATTCCTTCACTGAGCATTCTCCTAACTTCTGATTTTATAAACTTCTTTTCTCAAGTGAGTACCATCTCAGCTTCATTGTTACAGACTTGCAGTTTGGTGATACATTGCCAAAAAGTGATGGGTATAAAACATTGACTGCTGTTAGGCCACAAATACTAAGTACTGGTTTGGGTACTCCAAAGGAGATCTTAATATGAGAATGATGTTGAAGAAAATCATGGATTAGTATCCCTAGATTCTTCATTACCAAGTTTGATGCTACTATATGAAGTATTTTTGAGTTGTAAGCTGATCAGACAGTATTCAATCACTTATAATGATAAAGAAGCATTAGCCATAAATAACTGATTAGAACTGGGAAAAATCCACTATCAATTAGCCCTCACAATACTGGAATTAATATAATGCATCAATAGGAACTCCATTAACTTAATTTTTATCATATATTTTGAAAGGCAATCAGGGGACACTGCTGTCACATTAAAGAAGCAACAAAATTTTTAGAATAACTACTTTTAAAAGAAGTAAACTTTTAAAAAATGTCCTTACTTTCCATACCTGCCCAGACAAGAAAGCCAACAAAAAGTAACTTGCTGAAGCAACAGTAATAGACAGCTCAGATGTGTTTGAAGAGATAGCTGGATAGCAACCATATCACAGAGGAGGGACAAAAAGTGTGGGTGTTTAGAACAGTGCCAGAAGTATCAGACTGTATGTAGAAGACAGATTGCTTCTGAACAGCTTCAATCAGCCTGCTCATAAACTATTCATAAGAGATTTGTTTTCTAAAAGTCTCTGGCCTTACCTGAGAATTCTGAAGCCAATTGATAAAGGCATCCATGATGTGTTATGATGTGTCAGATTTTCTTCAGCAGTCATAGGCCGGGAGTTGCAGTCCTTACTACGGGCCTGTAATTACTTCAGATAGTGCTCCATTGATTCACTATTTTGTTGTTACCGGGTAGCCAGTAAATGTTAGGCAAATATTTCATTTTTGAGCTTTAGGTAGGTAGCTTGTAGCAATTCGATAGCCTCTTCATAGGAAGAATAATCAGCAATAATTTTGTGTATAGTATGTAATATATAATTTATATCATCATGAACCTTGTTTGTCAGTCAGTTCAGGTACTCTGTATATAATGTCTGGATGAAATTTTCAAATGTCACTTGCCAGTAAGTCCAATGTTTACCAACAGTATCAGAAACAGGACCACAAATCACTGTGGGCACATAAAGTATTCTATACTAATTCTAAGCCGAATAAATTGCAATAAAACATGGGAGAGTTGTGTAGCTTACAAAGCTTTATTCAGCTCAGAATAGTACAAAAATAAATACAATTTATAGTGGTTTATTTAATCAAGGGAGATAATCTCAAACTATGTGTGGGAACTATGTGGTTACCTACTACACTATTATCCTGATATAAACATTTTTTTTTCTTTGATTTTCATTTATACTTATTTTCTGGAATGAGTCCTTTAGAGATTTTTTCACATATTTTTCCATTATATAAAAGTTTTAAAAGCAAACATTTTGGAGAAAAAAAGTGGAAAATGAAGTTTTGATTCATTTGTAAAATTAATGGCAATAATGATTTTGGATACATGATAGCTCAGTTGTACTGATATAATTCTCTTTATTAAAATAGCTTTCAAAAATATACCTTTCTGAAATATTTGAGAAAAATTAATTGATTTAAAGTTTAATTAATATGAATTGAAACAAATATTACTTTTTAGTTTAAAATATAACAGTAAATATAACATGGAAATGGGTATTTTTATGAGGTGTTGACACATCTAATGTTTGGAAATTTAAGAAGATAACTGTAATAAAATTACATGATGAATACAACATAAATGCATTTTTATATAATTTCTTTAATTACCCAGTAATTTAAAAAATTTAAAATATTTTAAGCATTGTGATATTTTATTGAATTGTAAGTATTTACAAAGATGCTTGTTGAAGAAATGTTTGAAAATTAACAATAAATTTTAACTTTACTATAGTTATCACTCTTACTTTTTGATAATGTTGCATTTGGACATGCGTATTTACAATATATCAACACATGCACACATAAAAATTTCAAAATTCTTTTTAAAATATTGGGCCGTTGACTTGTTATGCGCTTTTTCAATTTATGATTAGTAAATATTGTTTTTACTTAACAATATCACCTAACTTCTATAAATTATTACAGAATTTATAGATTTAAGTTTACAAATTATTCTAATTAATCTTTATGTACATTAGCTTTTTTGATAATGTTATGCATGAATGTCTGTATTTACAAAAACTGGCACATTTATACACACATAAAAAAAATTCAAAGTACTCTTTAAAATACTGGGGATCACTGAATTGTAGAAAGCTTTCCCTTTTATGATTAGTAAATACAGTTTTTATTTAATATCACTTCACTGCTACAAATTAATACAGAATTTTAAAGGATTTAAAGTTTATAAATTACTGTAATTAAAATTTTTTAAAATACAAAAAAAATTCTTGTAAAAGTTAATTAGTCATTGTAAAAAGTTTTTTCTTAAGACAGTAGTATAAATAATATATATTTTATTCTTAAGAGCAATTACAAGCATTTCTAATTAAATAACATCTTAGTTTTATTGCATTTTTTATTTTACAATTCAGGACAGATTTACTATAACTGGGTGTCCTGTTTGACCAAAAAAATTGACAAATTAAATTCTCCACAGACTTGTCCTATGACAGATGTAAGCATTGAGTGATAAAAAAAAAGAATTTCTTTTATGAAATTATATAAGATTATATAAGTTGTGTGTGTGTGTATATATATATAAATTTGTTTTCCACCACAAAAAGACATTCAAATTTCCTGTACAAATATATGGTCTCATGTTGATGCCAGAAAAACATGATTTTTAACCAAAATTTCAAAGTTCTAAAAAGGATTAAAAAAAAAAATAATTTTTACATAAAAAAATCCTTTGGTCTTTGTTCTTAATAATAATGTAAAGATTTTGATAAAAAACACTAAGTTTGGGCCATTTTTTTCACCATGTATGCTCATGTTTTAGCAAATCTTTGGAGGTTCTTATTTTTTTTAACACTGGTGAAATTCTTATTTCAGCAGAAAAAGTATAAATAATAATTTGTAATTTCCTGTATAGTAAACCATACAAAAGTCATTTTTTATGCTAAGAATTATTAGTATCACTGTTTAAAGTTCACAGCTCAAAATCACTCATGTATAAACTATAACAGCTGAATATTTTTCAATAAGCAAAAACCTTTTAATCCTTCATTGCCTCTAACCATCAATCAAGAATTTCTACAGAGATACATCTTCAATTTTTGACCAAAAATAATAATAATAATGTAAGTAATGAAACAAAAGTTCTCAACATCTCTTAGGTATATTCATTTTCTTTTTGGTCAGTGAGTTAGGGTAAGTAAGTATAATCATCGTATTAATGGTCAAACTAAAGTCAGCCTTGTGCTGAGTTAGAACAACCAAAGGAAAGTTTGTATTTATTCTATCACTGGAAGGTTTAAACATGGTTATGGTATGTCCATTTTCTTTTTCTTGGTTCAGAAGTTACGGTAAGTAAATATAGGCAACGTTATAATGGTAAAGTTCAAGTCAGCCTTGTGCCAAGTTGGAACAACCAAAGAAAACAAATTGGCTTACTTCATAGGTGGAGGTTTTGGAAACCACGTGCAAATGCTATGCATTGGAAAGAGAGAAATATTTGTTAGTTGTCCAGTAAAACTAATGTGCCCCAGCAGGACTGTCTGTTTTTCACATACTGCTACATCTTGGAGCAAGGCGAAGAAAGAGAGCGAGAAGGAAATGCGTATCTTTTTATAGATTTCAACAGCATCACCTAACGGCATCTTACAAAACCAAGTGGGGTAATCATATTTCCAGTTCCTTTACTCTTAGCATCATGGGAAAATGTATTTATTTTTATTTTATTTTTTTTTTTATTCATTATTATTATTTTATTTATTGATCCTATTTCATTTTCCCACTGTGCAAATATTGGGAAATCTTTATTTTAAAGAAAGAGAACAAATATTGAATTTCCCCATGGCAGTTTCACAAAAGAAAATGTTCAGATTTTTAAATGATTAGTTGGATTTGTTGTAAATATTATTTTAAATGAATAAGTAGACCATGAAAAATGTCAAATAATTGTAGTTACATATTTTTAAGTATTACTATTATTATTATTTTTGTATTAAGTATATTATAATTATTAAATAATTATATATGGTTATGTTACATATAATAACACTTAGTATTAAATAATTTTCTAGCAAGTAGGAAGAAGGTGAAGCAGTTATTTTTTAAATTTCCTGTTTACGTTTTTGTGGTTATCTTCATAATATATATAAAAAAAAAAATGAAAATAAGAAATTTAATGTACATGATTAAAAATATAATAATGATATATTTTATTCTATTTTCAGTTTAAGCAAGTTGAAGAATACATGGTATGCCGGAAACTCCCACGAACTCTTCGTCAGCGAATCTCTGACTATTATGAACACCGCTTCCAAGGCAAGATGTTCGATGAAGACACCATTCTTGGAGAGTTGAATGAATGTCTGCGGCAGGTTGGAAAGTTTTTTTGGGTTTTCTTTTTTTCTTTTAAATAACATTCTACAGTCTACACCCATTGATGTGTAGCAACCCAAACATTTCCTTTTTTTATATTAATAAAAAAAAAAAAAAATCAAAAGAAAAAGACTGAAAATGAGCATTTCTGGCTGGTGATCCGTTTACCGGGCACACTGCAAGGTGGCAGTAGGAAAACAGAAGTCAGGAGGACGACTATTTATCGTCTGCTCACTAAATTACCTTTTTTTACGAAAAAAATTGAATTTCTGGATCTTTTCTGTTAATTCACCCAAATAATTTAAATTTACTTATCGCAAATATTTTAATTCCTCCCAAGACATTATAAATTTTTAATGAAATTCATTTTTTTTTTTTTATTACATTTTTGGCCCCCGAAAATATACAAAATTAAAAAAAAAGAAATCAAAATTGCGGCAACTTCAACCCTCAGAATGAAAAATTATCAAAAATCCAGGCGTTATTCACATTTCGTAAGTGGGGATGATATTCATCGAGATATTTACAAAGGAATTTTTTACAATTCTAAGAAAAAAAAAACTGTTTCTCGTTTGTTTATCGAGGTGAGCGCGAATGTAAACCCCACACATTTGGAGCGATGACTAACGTCAAGCCAACCGGAGTGCAATGGAAGGGGCCTCGCTCTGGGAGAATTTGGTGTGAATTTTTAATAAATATAAAATCTTTTTATTTTGGGGTGAATTAACAGAAAAAAAAAGATAGAAATTTCCTAAAGAAAGAACAACAAAAATATTTAATCACGAATGAAAATAAAAGCTAAAAATCTTAACCCGGTTGTTTTTAATTTAGTGTCAATTAATAATTGTTTGTTTTTTTGTTAACGGAAAAAAGCTTATGATCTTCTTACCTTTCTTTGAAGTCTTTATCTTTTCATCGCTTTCTCTTCTTGACAGTTTTTAAATATTTTCATAAATCCTTTCCGTTTTGTTTGTTTGAGAGAAACGTCTTTTTAACGCTAACCAAGGAGATTTTATTTTTAAGGTTTTTTGTAGTAAAAACAAACAAAAAAAACGACCTGTCTTTTAGATTTACAACCTTAACAAAATATCGTCCTTTTTAAAAAAAAAAATTAAAATTAAAAATAAATAAATAAATAATTTTTTTATATACCTCCGAAAACCCGGCATCTTATTCTCTTCTATCCCGGGTGTACGGTATTTTTTGCGTCTCTCTCGTCAACTACAACTTTTCTCCAAATTACTTCATCGTCTTGTTCTATAATAATTTCCACACAGATTTCTTTAGTAAAACTATCAGTTGTATTATTATTATCAATGTATTATTACAAAACTTCCCTTTGCAAAAATTCTTGGACTATTTTGTTTATTTTTTATTTTTTTTACGGTACACAAGTAATAGGCAAGTAGAGAAGCTTGTCACTTTTTCTTTCCTAACTGCGAACCAGCAAACAAACTGTTGTTAGTTTTTTGGACATAGGGAATTTCCTCAGCAACCTATTAATTTCTACCATATTTAAGTCGTATCAGTTCTTCAGTTAAAAATGCCTCTTCCACATTTACAACATTTCTTCCCTGTAAAACTTGCCGTTCAGTTCTTTTTCTTCAAACCAATTCCGACCTTCTCATTTTTTTTAATCTTATAATAAATTATTGCATTGGAAAACTCTTAGGTTGATTTAAATGAATTTAGGAAAATTCGGTAACTATGACATAAAAGTCGATTGAAAAAATTAATTTCAGGGTCGTTCTGATGTGAGAATTTGGGGGCTAATCCCCCACCCTCATCTATATATTTTTAACTGAAAATCGAGGGGTCCAGATAAATGACCACTATACCATGGCTGTATTTACAGAAAGAGTAGGTTAAGGAGGCTATGCCTCCTTCCCCAATATTTTGTAAAAAGTATTATTAACTATGGGGGTTTAGATAAAAAAAAAAAAAAAAAAAAAAAACACATTACCCGGGTCTTACTTTTTGAAATGGGTGGCTAGAACCTCTCCCCAATGGGTTTAAGTTTAAAAAAAAAAAAAGTCATGGGTTCCAGTCCAGATAAAACCCTACTGCAATACGCTCCCCTGCCAATATTTTTAAATAAATATTTTTTAAATAAGTATTTATTTAAATTACTATTGTTTTCAAGCAAATAAAATCGATTTCTAAGTTAAAGATAAGTTCTTGTATCTTCTTTTCTTCATAGTTACCAAATTTTCTGAGCACCAATTTCAATTGCACCTGATCAAGGCTAAGTTTTCCAATTGAAAGAAAGATGCTGGATTTGTAAATGTCAAGATTTTGCAAGATCTTGTTTTACTTCATTTTATTTGTCCTTAGCCATGATATTTCTGGACAACCTCTTTTCTTAATGAATGGTCTGAAGAAGCAAATGTTCTCATGATTTTCTCCCCCGTGTTACCTTTCAAGGCAGTCCCATTTCATTTCCTAGGAAAATGAACCTTCTTTTGATGTCCACCCCACCCAATGTTTGCATTTCTTTGTTCTTAATCTTGTTTGGCCAACGGATATTGAGGGCAATTCGAAGTAATTTTCACTGAAAAGCACCAATGTTTTTAGTTTCTCATTTAGTTCTAGTAAGTTTCCAGAGTTCCGAATTGTATAGAAATACAGTTGAAAGTAAATGTTTATTATGTTTGATTTGAAGATGCTTTCGTATTTTTGAATAGTTACAAATACAGGATTTTCAATGCTTGCTCCCACAAGTTTCCTAAATAAATACCATCCTCATCGTTGTTAGTTATTCATGGGTGCTGTTTCGACTTGAAAGCACACTGCAAATTAGTGGTTGGTTTCTCATCTTCAGTAAGTTTGCAAATACCTCTTCTTATCAGTTCTTTTTAAAATTCTATGTCCTAACTCACAAAAATGCTGCCGGTCTTCTAAGCTCTTCAAATTTGCTTTTTGTTTGTTTTTACGGAGAATGGAAATTTATTGATAGTCCCTTTATGTTGTTCAATATTAGTTGTTCATCCAATGTCTATGGATGTTATTCTTCCATTTGATACTGATGACAAAACTGTTTCTATATTTACTCCCGGTTTCCAAAGTTGAAAACTTGTGCTGTCTAATTACGAAAATCCTTCTTTGATTTTGTTTTCTTGAAGATGCGTCCCAATGTTGTTTAACTACCAAATTTCTGAGCCAACAATTTCTACTTTTTTTTTTTTTTTCACAAGTCACATTAAATGTCGTCCCGATGGTAAAACTTTTTAAAACATTTCCAAAATTTTAAATAAGATGTTCACAACTGGATAAGTCATTACTTTCTCTGCCTTGACACAAAATTCATGGCTAAAAAAAAAAAAAAAAAAACTAAACAGCGTCCTAGACGCTCAAAACGAAAAAGAGTTACGCAGTAATTTTCTGCGGAACTGGTTTTTCTGCTAACAATTTTTCTATAAATATTTATTATTTATTTATATTTATTTTATTTACTATAAATGTATTTCTTATTAAACCAATTAAATAAGATGAGCAGCAAATGGAGAAATAAGAAGAAAAAACAAAAAGAACGAATTTGACTTAAAAACCATTTTTCTATTAAGTGACCCCAAATAATCACCATAGAATTCCTAAAATTTTATATATTTTTATTCGAGCCTAATATTAAAATTGTGATTGTTTTTTTAAGAAATATATGTCAATTGTTTCATATTTAATAAGCAGACGATAACTAATCGCCATCTTGAGCTCGACTGCCACTTTGCACCACTTCCGGTAACAGAACACTAGCCAATTTTAATTTTCTTTTACAGGCGAAAACAATGACATATACATTATATAGTTATTGTATCCATCTATTAGAATCCCTTTTAATATTTCTAGGCCAGGTATAAATGCATCATATTTAGTACTGAATAATCCATATTTTATCTTGGGGAAAGCAGGAACATTCGGTAATATCTGAGTTTCCAAATAGATAAAGATGGATGTCATGCATAATTGACGTTTTTAACAATAAGGTGATTTCCAATATTAATGTTCTCATTTCATCAACATAAACCAAATTAGATTCTCTTTTACACATAATTTAAGACTTATATTCAAGGGAAAATTGAGACTAATATAAAATCTATAGTATATAATATTAACAAAACAAAGGTTGAACTTTGGAAGAATATCAAACATTTCCCAAAGGCTTTTGTCTGCAACCTTGAACATGGAATTTTTTAGGCTTGCTAACTTTCTGGAAGAAATATAATTTCAATGCTTTATATTTTTCTTTTTCTTTTAATGTAATATTTTTTTTATTGGTGTTGTAGCAACAGTGTTACCAATATTGTAAGGGTGTATACTACATATATTTAACTTTGTCTAGGAAAGGTGGGATTAAGGACAATGCGTGGATGCAATGCAATTTATATTTGACATAAATAGCACATAGTACAAAATACAAAACAGAATGTAACGATTTCAAAACATAATTGAATTTATTATGTACATGCATGTGAACTGAAAAGGTTAGACAGGGTTGTGTCTCTTAGATTTGGAAATATTTGTATCTGAGCTCATAAAGAAGAAGTAATTATTAAACTGTAGTTTAGAATAATAAAGTTCCTTTAGCATATTTGGAATTGTGAGCTGTAAACCTTGGTAAGAGTTCAGAAGAGATTTTAGAGTTCATACTTGCGTGAATGTTGGTAATGGTCTTTAACGTCTGACTGCATTAGTTAAGACGGGAGTTCTTGAAGATTACATCTTGGCAGCAAGGAATGAGACGCGAGAGAGAGAGTTTACACATGTTTTGTTTATATAAGATCGTGTATCACGTGGGAGGCTCCAACTGAGTTGGCACCAAAATAGATCTGTCGCGTGGGGGTGATTTGATTGGTTGAAACTGACCTAGATTGAAGGTGATTAACCAATGAATGCTTGTTATATATTTTGTAAGATGGTGATGGGGAAAATCACAACAGGAATAGTGCATTTCCTAGGAGGGGTTAACTGGCTGTTGTGGGAGATTCCACAGTGTAGTGGATAATGGCTCCGAATATGAAATTGGAACAAGTTGAGTTCATTATATTCATTTATACACAAATACCCTGTCTTACCAACTATAGCAAGAACAAACTGGGCCCTATAGCCTTGGTTGGCAACCAGGATGTTATGGAGAATTGGGTCAACCTGATAAGAGACACAAAGTTGGTTCCTTGAAAACCCTAGAAGTTACGTTCTCTTCCACAATTGGCTATTGAGAGAAGACATTCTACTTACAGTAGGTGGCACTGACAATAGTCAACGTGTGAGAGCTATATAACACTAGATTTCCTCTCTGTCAAGAGAACCGCTCTCAACATGTGGATGTACAAAAAACAGACAAGACAAACACACAGGATATGAGAAGGAAAATTTTGATTTCAAACCAGCCTGGAGAGTGTTGGGCTCTGTCAGGGTATCTTGCCCAAGACACACCAATGCTACTGCTATAGCTGCAGTACATGTGGTGGCCATACAAACCTAATGGGTTACAGGACTTGTGATCATGAATATTTATATGTAAATAAATCAGGTGTATATCACAGAAGATCACCCACCAAAAGTAGCAACACCAGAAACAATACTGCAATTGCATCAAGCTCCAGCCCTCTTGGCATATACGTTTTGGATGTGGTCACACTGGAACCCATCAGGAGTTTCCATATATTTACTGAGGCTTTATTTTTAACAAGTATTTTCCTGTTCCAGAATCTCAATCCCATTTTGTATACTAAAATTATGATACAAATATATTTGCACCAATTCTTTTTATTTTAATTTTCCTTTAAGTATTTCTCCTTTTTTCAACCATCTTGCAACTATCAGGAGCACATGCTTGCAGTCCTCATTTCAGTTGGTAACTATGAGTGTATATACTATAGATATAGATACTAATAAGCAATTCAATTAACAATTATATGTTTTTACAAAGTAGAAATAATTGTAGCTTTTTATGAGGTAAGATTAATTGTAATATCTAGTAAACTCTTTCTCCATCTTTTGAACAGGAGTAGAGGTTTATCCCTTGTTTAGGATTGGGTTTTCGGTTCCTTCTTCTATAGTCTTCTCATTCTCTTTCCCTCCCAGTAACCTCTTTACATATTAGTGGCATTATTGCCTCTCTTCGAGTGAAATGATTTAAAATAAAAACACACTCTGACATTAAATTGATAAGTTTCTTACTGTAGGCATTTTCTATTCACATCTTGATTTTTATACTCACTGTGTTTCGACATTATTCCCTCCAACCTTCTTCAGGTGTCTGTCATCATACACAGTAAGCTGCTTGGAACTTAGAACAAAGCCCTTTATTCAATCCACTATTTCCATGCTCAGGGGAGATAACTGGCATCAGTTAATATTCACCAGCTTTAATATTCACCAGCTTTGTAGTGTTTGTCACTTTCTTCCACTGAAGATGAAAATATGACTTTTCAGGACTACCAAACCCAGAGATTGAACTCACAACTACCAGAGAACTTGGCATGGTTTTAACCAACACTTTAATCCACTCAGTCATATATCTTTTGGATATATCCTATCTGTGATGCTATTCTAGAGTCTTAAATTTAATGTCTATAGTCAGGTCGGGGGACTGTATGAGTGTCCTTACTCAGATTGTGAAATACTTTTTGAGCATCCTTTTTTTCTTAATCAGAGACTCTGTTACATATAAAAATATATGCATTTTATAATTTTATATTCTTCATAAAATTCAAAAAAGAATCTGCAATGTTATTGGTCCTGATCTGACATCTCGACTTCAGTCACTCTCCCACTGCTGTAATGTAGCTTTCTTGTGCTTTTTCTATAAATATCTACATGGTAATTGTTCTTATGAGCTTTCTTCTTTGGTACCTTGACTTTAAGAATTTAAGTGCAGTACTAGACCAGCAGCTTGGTCTCATCATTTTACAGTTAAAATTGCTAAATGTAACCATAAGTTCTTGGTTTCTTCTCTTGCACTTCTCATTTGTAGAAATCTCTTCTGGCTTCTTACTTTCCAGTCAACTTTGATCTTCAAAGATTTAAATGCAAAGTCAATCATTAGCTTCTGTCTTCTTAATTCCTCTTCTTTTTATTGTTCTCTCTTCTTAATAATGTTTTTCTTTTTCTCAAATTCTTCCACACTCAATAACCTCTTGCATCTTAGTGGCTTTATTGCCTTACTTGAAATGAAAAGATTAAAAAAAACTTCATCTAAAAAGATTTTACATAAATTATGAGTTTCTAGTTCAAAATAACTTCTTTCTTATGATTAGGAAACATAAAATTGAGCAAAAATTCTTCATTTACAATTAATGGTAAAGTGTCAATGGCATTGTTGTATTTTCTAATATTTTCATTATTTTTGATTAAGATTTAATTTTAAAATATCTCAGCTTTTCAAAAATATTAGAATTGCTTTCATTGGATAGGTTTAATGATTACAGGTAAAAGTAGATGAAACCTGAATTGAGGAGAAAAGACTTACTTTGACAAAGAATTTACTTATGACAAAGAATCTATTCTGTTTGTTATAATAGAAAATCAAAATCAAGATTGGGTCTACTTCCATAGGTCTCGAAATATGATAATTTTTGTGCTTACCTACCAATCATGACTAATCGCAGTCTTACTTAACCCAATAAAAGAATGCTACTTCTGACAGCAAGAAGATTTTCTGTCCTTTATGGGTGAAGAAGGTGATTGTCTGTTGTGAGTCTTGCTTACGAGGTTTTTGACTCTGGAGTTGTGCATTGAATGTATTTGTGATTTGGGACTTCTGAGTCAGATTTATGACCTTTTGGAAGTAGTCTCCCTGTCACCAGCCATTAGGGGTTAACATAAGTGCACCTCACAAACTTCTAGACAACCAAGCCAGAGCTACCCTCCCTCAGAAGGAGTATACATCAGAAGCTAACTGTGCTTGGCTGCATTTTTGTGATCGAGATTAGGTGGTGAAATAGGATCAAAGATTCTAACCTACTTGTAGCTAAGAGGCCATGATGTCTCGCCTGCCCAGTCAGAGCTGCCATTTACAATTTAGGTAAAGCACATGCATGGTTCTAGTGCTTTTAAAACTATCACTAATTTGCATGCATGGTGAAAAACCTGAATAAAAGTTGAGCCACACAGATGAACAGGGAGAGAATCTACAGATTTTGATCTGTGCTGAACCCAGGTTCATTGCAACTATCATCTTCACAACCCTAGATTTTAGATTTTGGACCTGAACCCCCACCAGGTTTAAGGATCACAAGGAAGCAAAGGAAACATGAATTAGATATATGAAGCAATAGATTTCAGAATTGGTGAAAATATTTAACAAGACTCAACTCTTCATACTACAATCACAGAGTTACTTTGGATTATGCTATTCTCACCAATGAAGAATATTTCTAATCTCTTAAAAGTTCCTATTTAATGTGCAATGAAAGTTGTAAAATTTATTTATTCCCTTTCTGTACAATTCAAGAGGCATCTTTGAATTGAAAAAAATTCTTAATTGCTTTGCAGTTTGCACTGGGATGACCTCAAAGATTTTGTGAATTCTGCTTATAGATCTCCATTAAATAATTAACAAAATGATTCTTTTAGTCTGTGATTGTCCACTGCTGAAAATCCTTTTAATAAACAAAATATAAATTCTTTATAAAAGGCACTGTCCTACCCAACAGCAAAATTCTATATTTAATTTACTGGCACTTAACAAATTATTGCAATCTTTATCTTCAAGAAAATAATTTTTTTTTTATTGACTTGAAAAATGAACTAAAATATTTACCAATGGAAATTTGATGTGAATAGTTTCCAGTTATTGTAAATATTTCAAATAAGAAAGGTTTCCAATATATCACAAGAACTTACCCAAATTTTTAAAATTCTAAAACTTTGAATTCTGGATTGATGTAGAATTGGGGTCTGCCTTATGGCTGAAGAAGTTGTGTATTTGTCACTGGTATCACAAGTCAGTATTTGGACCCTGATAAAATCCTAAGATCTGAAGCGACAGTGGCCTTGCTCACTAGCATGCCACACTCTTCCTACCTGCTTAAACTTGAAAAGAAAATTGTCCAGCATTCACTGCCATATAGGTGGATTTATATTAGATAATGTTTTAGACCATTTTTCTTTGTTTCAAATGAAATTATCCTTAAAACTTCCTCATTGCTCACATTCTCCCTCTATGGTATTCACATCTTTCTAGATTATCACATCTCTATTTCTTCGAGTCTCTTCATCATCCATAAGGAAACTGTCCAGATTGATATTACATGGCAGTTCAGCATGACTGGAAAGTTTTGTTAGAAACTTAACTACTAGATCACTGATTTTGCTATCAAGATAACACTTTAGGATTTCATTACACAAGTTATTAAATTCTACAATAGAATTCTAAGGATATAAATCTTTTCATATTTTAGTCCTAATTGTATTTTCATTATAACAACATCTGACTAATGTTTTCTTTTCTTGTTTGCTTTTTAGGAAGTGATAAATCACAACTGCCGATCCTTGGTTGCATCTGTTCCATTCTTCACAAATGCAGATCCACAGTTTGTTTCAGAAGTAGTCAGTAAGCTTAAATACGAAGTGTTTCAGCCTGGTGACTATATTATACGAGAAGGGACCATAGGTACCAAAATGTATTTTATTCAGGAAGGAATAGTTGATATAATTACCAAGGAGGGAGAGGTGGCTACTAGTCTTTCAGATGGCTCCTATTTTGGAGGTAAGTACTGATGGTTTCTTCTTGTTCTTGAAAATTATTTGACATTAAAAATTTGAATAAACAAAGGTCAAAGACAATTATCTAAAAAAACAAAAGTCGATAATGTCTATTCAAAATATCAACTAGGGGCATAATCTTCCACATAAGTACATGTACAAACTTCGTATATGCCATTAGATGACAGAGATCAAATCTCTAACTTAAACATGATTAGGCTCAAGTTTCTTGAATCTAATAAATTCTTTAAAAAGCTGCATGCATGTTCAGGTAGCCTAAATGTCATCAGCATAAAATGTGCAATCAATGAGTTCAAATTCCAGCCAAGTTCATTGTGTTCACTTTGCACTACTACTATTGAGAAAGGCATAACTCTGTCTCATACCCATTCAATCTATAGGTTAAATAACTGATAGACAAGGTTCTCTAGCCTTGCATGATAGCCAGTCTAGGAGGAAGAAAGTTTTGAATTCAAACCAATGCCATGAAGTTCGAGGAGGACATTCCTTGTACTGAAGCTTGGTTTGGTCATTTACTGCAATTAATATGCCATTATTTGTCTTGGACATCCACCTTCTCATTGGATCCTGGAGAGGAAATGCAAGTCAGGGGTTTGAACATGTACAAACACTTACTCACATGCCATTCTTTGAAAAGAGCCATCATAAACCCTTCAAATAGAAATGATTATAAATAGAAATGATTATAATAATTATACATATATATATGTGTGTGTATGTGTGAACATGAACACATGCATGCATATATACACTTATAAGTTATATAGAATAATTAATATTAAATGTTAACTTATCTTGTCTCTACTCAGAGTTTTGCAGAGATTACATCCACATGTCCAGATACATTAACGCAAAATAAATTTTAAAATCAACTCTCCTGATGAGTTGATGCAATCTCCACAAAACTCTGAGTAGAGACAAAATAAATGAACATTTAATTTTATCTATCTTTATTAAGACCCTTTCAATATTGATCCCAATAATTATAAAGGCTACTTGCCTTAAAAACATTATCTTCCACAAATACTCTGGTTGACCACTAAGGACACACACACAATGTTTTTATATATATATATATATATATATATATATATATATATATATATATATATGCAAGTTTCATTAAATATGACAGATAAGGTGCTGATTAAGATTTTTATATAATTTCTCATGTGATCTTATAGATTTTTTTCTTTTCAATAGATAAATTATATAAAAACTGACCAAATGTTTTTTTTCGGAGCGTTTTCAGCTACACATTTAGCCATTTTCAAGGTTGTAATATATTAACTGTTAACTAGAAATAGATTGTTGTATGTATGTATTTATATAATGTTTCATTTTCAAAACATGGTCAACAGACTATGTCCATGTTTATAGTTGATATTACTGAGTGTTGTTTTTTTGTTTTGTTTTTATTAATAAAGCTTCCATTATTTTTAGTCTTTTAATAAAGGTTAACTTGCACTCCATTCCTTTAGGGATGTGCTTGATTACACTTGCAGTGTTGTTGGATCCAGAATTCATATATTTCAGTTTTGTATTGGGTTTTATGTAAGGCAAGATGTTGCCAGTTTACAGATTAAATTCAACATCCAAATATTGGACTACTTTTTTGTTTGTATCGGCTTCAATTTCAAATTTGAAGCTCTTGAAGAGTTTATAAATTGTTTTCTATTTCTGTCAGTAACTCTTCTGTTGTCCAGCACTATCATCAGGGTGTGTATGTGATTCCTAACATTTTAATATTTGATATATATATATATATATATATATATATACACACATTTAAATATGTGCATGTGTGTCTATACATGGTAGCCATCCTGCTATGATAAAATGTTCTGCTGAAAAAAATATTGTCAAGAATTTGGTAGACAATTAAAACAATAATAAAAATAAATAAATCAGACAATCGTTTTGATGTTCCATTCACAATGAATAGTTCCACTCTCAATGAAGATCCATGCTTTGAATGTTTATTGAGTATTAAGTTCACTCCGAACATCAAGTGGAATTCATATATACAATTCATTTGCTAAAAAAGTTTTAAAAAACAGTCAATTCACTTTATCGCTCCAGGAAGTATCTAACTCCTTCTACGATATTTTATCTTTACAAGCATCAGAAATAGAGTATTTCTGTCATATCTGGGCCAGAACTGTCTAATTCAAACTTTCCAGCTTTTATAGACTCCAAAGTCGTTTACACTGTCTTGTAGTGAATGAGCTATTTTCCACAATGTCACATTTCTATCATAACTCTATGACTGTTTCTATATCAAATGTTCAGATGAGCTCCATTCTGTTGTGTTACAAGTTCAAACCATTACAGCTAGGACACACAATGCTACTTCTACAGAGTTGAATCACCCATATTTCCTCCACATTCCAAATGTAAGAAGGAAGTTCTACTCAGAATTTTCCCAAGAACTGCTAATTGTAGAAACTCCCATGTAAATGATTCCCTAAACACTTCAATTTTGATCTCTTCAAGTCAAGGGTCAATTATTATCTATCCTCCTTATCCTCATAACCTTCATTACATATCACCTCCTCTTCTATTCATATCACACACCTCATTCATCATAACAATTTCAACTGTAATCCTCTATCTTAAGTGGCTTTCAAGTTTTTTTATTATGTGAAATTTAGTCAAAGAAAAAATAATTTTAAACTCAAGTACAGATCAACCAAGTCTTTTACATTTTATCAATTCACAGTCCAAAGAAAATTAAGACACTATCATTGCTTCCATCTCTAAACCTGAAATTAAAAGGATTCTTCCAGATGGTATTCTTACCAATTATAGCATCAATAATTCAAGATATAAATTTTAAGAGATGACTACCTATAGGTAGGGCACCTATAAAATGTATACTGCATTTATGCCAAATATATTATTTTTCTGTTTACATTATTGTCACAACATTTCAGCCAATGTGCCCTCCAGCCTTCATGACGTGTATGCAGATCCAGGTAACTTTTCAGGGAATTTCAAACTGAACCTTTATTCAATCTAAATAGTTCTTGTTCCATTGTCTATGTATAGAGATATCTCATCTTGTACTTTTTAGTGATTAGCTTGATTATTGTTTGCCACATTTACACTGAAGCTGAGTCTATAAAAACCAGCCTAAAAAAAAAAATCTAAAAATTACTATGCCACCAAATTTACAAAGCAATGTTTTCATCCACTAGACATTGTCAGTGGAACAAGAACAATCTACACTCGTATATTGAATAAAGTGTTCAGTTTGAAATTCCCTGAGGGATGGCTGGATTGGCAGACATCTGAAGAAGGCCGGAGACCAAAATGGCTGAAACACTGTGATAACAAAGGAAATCAGTCAGAATGTAAATAATTATAACTCCTTATCCCAGAAATTCAGAGAGAATTATAACAAAGATAAGGACATCAGAATGTAAATAATGATAACTCTTCTCATCTCAGAAGCTCAGAGAGAATAACAAAAAAGATAAGGACATCAGTCAGAATGTAAATAATGTAAATAACGATAATTCTTCATCCCAGAAATTCAGATTGATATTCTTTTTTTTTTCAAAATAGTTGTGAGCTGTAAGGTTGTCATTTCTCCCAAAAATTAACTATTCAGGGATGTATTGCAATAGTTGCCTTCCATTGCCGCCTTCTAGGTAAAAATGTCTTTAACTAGGAGATTAATTGTTTGCATTTTCTGTAAAGTGAACTGATTACTTAACTGTTAATATCTCATCACAGAGCCATCACCACAAATCTGCAATTGCTATACAGGCATCCCCCCAATTGATGCATTCTTCGATTAGTGCACTAAAATTTTTATATACCAAAACTTGATTAGTGCATGCATAATACATGATTAGCACAGTAAAACATTCTTCTGTTTAACCATAGTAATTGAAAATTCATTTTTTATAGTTATCAATGTATAAATTAGCCACACTAATTGAGAGATTGTTATAATTTAAATTCTAGGTTAATAATGTACATAATTTAAAATGAGTACAATTCCGACGTTTGCAACATTTATTTTAAAAGAGAGCTTAATACAAGGTAGTGCAATATTCTTTATTTTAGGATATTACATCAAAAAACGTCAAAATCACTACACAATTGCAGACATGTTTCAATGCGTATCAACATATCTCATCAGGTGATGGTAAATTACTGGTGAGGGAACAATTTATTTCTTTAATAAAATGTTCACTTGATAGTAATTTACAATGCCTGATTAAATTCGTTGATACACATCGAAATACGACTGCTGTTGTGTAACTATTTTGACATGTTTTTGATGTAATATCCTAAAATAAAGTGTGTATATATATATATATATATATATATATTAATTAAATTTACTGGCCTGAATGTTTAAGAACTTTCATAGAAAATATGCATTCTCTAACAGGAATTGAATCTGTGCCCTATACCACTAAGCTATATCGATTAAAATAATGTACAAAAAATATATGTGTGTGTATGTATGAGTGTGTGTGTTCCTTGCTAATATATGTGTATATGTATATATACATATATGCTTGTGTGTATGTATATATACATATATGATTGTATATATGTGTCTATATGTCTGTGTATATATGTACATATGTATGTGTCTGTGTGTATACATATACATAGATATATTTATCTGTGTGTGTATATATACATATATATATAGTGTGTGTATATACATATATATGTGTATGTATATTTATGTGTGTGTGTGTCTATACACACACATATACATATATACATATATATGTGTATATATATATATATATACACACATATATATATATATATATATATATATATATATATATATATATAAAACACATATTGTGTGTGTGTTTCAGAGAGGCCAAATTCATTCCTTCTAAATTGTCTCACCCTAAATATGTCTTATTTCTGATTAAATATCTAATTAAATAGAATCTACATTTATAATCAACATTCATTGATGACACTAATGCCTAATGATTT